GGCTGCCCGCCCTGCCCTGCCTGTGTGTCTCCAAGGAGGTTCGACACCTCCTGGGGCTCCAGCAAGCCCCTGAGCACCCCGCTGCCTTCCCCCAGCCTCAGCAGGAGATGGACACTCACCCAGCAGCCTCATGAGTAAGAACTGGACTCCGATAGCAAATGACTTCTCATCCTGGTTCACCACCCTGCGGAGGAGAAGCCATGCGAGGTCAGAGCTGCCTGCAGTGGCTCTATGTTTCATAGGATCATCATAGAATCATGGAATGGTTTGGGTTGGAAGGGAACTTAAAGCCCACCCAGTGCCACCCCCTGCCATGGGCAGGGACACCTCCCACTGGCCCAGGTTGCTCAAAGCCTCATCCAGCCTGGCCTTGAACCCCTCCCTTCCCCATCGCTCACCGTAAAACCATCATGTAGAGAGGGTTGTGGGACAGGCAGGCTACCAGGGCAGCGAAGGAGATGAGGAATATGGCAGGAAGGAGCATGTGGGAGCAGCTGAGCGGACAGGAGCCTGTCTTGGCGGAGGACAGCCCATTCCCAGCAGGGATCAGGGAACAGTTCCTGTAGATCTGTTGGAAATGTTGGGGAAAAACAAATGTAAAACTCCCAAAGCCAACAACAGGTTTTGTTTTTTTTTTAGTGACACACCAGGCCCACATCATTTTGCAGAAGACTGATGTGAGCGTCAGCTCCAATTTTAAGCCATGGCATCCTGCAATGGAATGTGCTGCCATCCCCGTTTCTCTTCCAGGGTGTTACAGCAATTCTCTATCACGCCTTTCCAGGACTTCAGCTCTTCTAGCAAACCACTTGGTTTACTCACCATTTGTTTGGGAGTGGGCGCATTAGTGGTGCTGTTTGTGCAGCCAGCAAAGCAGGGGGAGATGTACTCGACGTTGTTTTCTCCGCACACTGGGTGAAAGATGCGCTCAGAGCAGTGGCACCCACTCGGCGTCTTAACCTGCTGCTGGGAACTCAATGTACTGCCAAAAAGGAGGAGGAAAAAAAATTTTAAAAAACCTAAGAAATAGCACAGGAGGAAGAAAAATCCTTAGTTAACCAGTTTCCCCGTTCCTATTTGCGCTGGGATGCTGCCAGCAGCAGGCTGGCCTTCTGCCAGACCCTGATCCCCTGCAGATACCTCTGCAAGCCTACAGCAAACTCAGCAGTCATTCTGTTATGTCTGCAAACAAGTACTCACACACTGACTTTTTTTTCCCCCCCCAGCTGAAATCTAATCATCCAAATGCCTGGAGAAATGTCTCTGGGCTCCATCCAGAACTGCACAACCAGATGTGTGAACCAGCCCCAGGTGGAAACACCATTCAGACAGAAACTGGAAGCAGGCTCCGAACAAGCCTGACGACAGCATGAAAGTCAAGAGGACAAACTGAATTCTCTGTCCTGTCTTGCCTTTGCTAAAGGAGTTCATCTGCTGGAGCAGAACACTCTGTCTCCTGCGGGAAACCAGCACCAGAGACCTGGTGGGATTGGGGCTGCTCCATCTCCTGTGGGAAGGTGACCCCAGGGACCTGCCCTTGGGCATGGTGGGATTGGGGCTGCTCCATCTCCTATGGGAAGGTGACCCCAGGAACCTGCCCTTGGGCATGGTGGGATTGGGGCTGCTCTATCTCCTATGGAAAGGTGACCCCAGGAACCTGCCCTTGGGCACTGTAGGATGGGTCTGCTCCATCATCTCCTATGGGAAGGTGACCCCAGGCACCTGCCCCTGGGCACAATGGGATGGGGCTGCTCCATCTCCTGGGGAAAGGTGACCCCAGGGACCTGCCCTTGGGCATGGTGGGATTGGGGCTGCTCCATTATCTCCTATGGGAAGGTGACCCCAAGGACCATGCCCACCCATCCACAGAGCCCACAGTGACCTGGGGATGGAGGCAAAAGGCTCTCTCGCACTGCTGCTGTTGTAGGGGTGGAGGTTTCCAAAGCCATACAAGGCACCACGCCTTCCCCTTTTTCACGCAAGTGCCTCCATCAGCTCCCACTTACACCAGCAAAGCCCCTCAATAGCGGTGGGTCCCAGAGGAGCCGAGACAGGCAGTCAACCTGACACCAGTGGCAAGAGGTGAATGCTGTGAGGCCAAGGTTCCTCTCAAAATTTTGCATTTGCAGTCCCTGATCCCGAGCCGCAGGATCTCCTCCCATGTGAAGCCTTGCTCTCCTGCAGAGACACCAGTGCCTCTGGGGACTTCCCTGCGCTCCTGGATTTGCAGCACACGCCATGCAGCTCTCCGAGCAAAATCTAAACACATCGCCCACGCATGAGCTTGCAGAGTGCTGTTGCTTTCCTTCATGGTTATTTAAGTGGCTTTTAAGTGGGAGAAGCATGTGGACTGTCCTGTCCCTTGCCCCTCCGCCGTACCCCGGGATGGGAAGCATATTGCTGGTGAAGGGAAGCATTTGTGTGAAAGCCCCTTGCTGGCCCTGCACTAGGAAAGGAGCAAAGATGCGCTTGCCAGCAAGCCTGGGGTGGAGTCCAAATGTCATTTTTTTTTGTCTTAAAAAGGCATGGTGAGAGCCAAAAGTTTCCACCCAGGTGAGGAGAAAGGTGATGTTCAGAAGGGAACGTGTGAGGTGTGTGGGGTTGATGAGGACACAGGCACTAATTAATACTGCTAATTTCCTCCGAGAAATCCCGAGTGAAAAATATACTCTGCTTGTTTGGTTCAGAAAATCAGGAATAAATGCCCTCCCCAGTTTTCTGTGCTGTCCAGTGCTCAGACCTCCTCCAGGCAGTGGGATCAAGGGGCAAGCAGTAGTGTAGCGATGTCTACTGCCTCTTCCCCTCCACCTGCGTGTGTCCCACCCCATGGATGAGCAGCTCAAGAGCTGGAGGAATAAGGAGCTGGGACCAACTCAAGCGCCTGCCTTACCTGGGAGGGTAGATGCCATTGATGCGTCCTGTGGAGCAGCCAATGAAGAAAATAGGCAGGCAGATGAGGATGGAGATAACGAGCACCACCACAGCAAACCGGGGGATGGCCCGAAGGGAGAAGGTAAAGCGTTTCATGATGATTCCTCCTAAAAGCATGCCGAGCGCTGCTGCTGGCAGGTTCACAGCTCCTGCAGAGGAACGAAGGTGTGAGCTGGGAGTCAGGATGCGGCATCCCAAGCCCCTCTCCGCTGGCAGGGTGTAGAGGTGGTGGCTTGGTGGACCTCGTGGTGGTTGCAAGAACCCAGAGACCCCACCATGACCCAAGACAGACCACAACCCAAGGCAGTTGGTACCTATGAGAAAGCCCAGCCTCAGCAATCTGGCTTAGAGATGCAAGATCAAGCCTGGGGCATAATCGCTTGTTGTTGCCCCTTCTTTAAGCATCGGAGTGATCCAGACTGGCTCACCCTGTGGAGGGGCTGCACATTTTCAACAAGAGAGGTTGCTGGCCCATGAGAGCGAGCGAAAAGACAAACACAGACAGTCTCTGAGAGGCTGTAAGAGCTTCTGCAGGCGTCTCAGGTCAGGAAAGTCACCAACCACCTCCAGGTGGTCCCTGGGTCTCATCTGAAAATGAGTTTCCAGTGACTTTCTCCCACAGGATGAAAAAGGCCAGGGAATACAGGCAGGTGGCTGGCGGGTGTTTTTCACCCCGCAGTTGCCCCGTTGTGCTCACCGATGAGAAAGTTGGCGTAGGAGGGGGAGGCACCGTACTGCTTCTCCAGGAACTTGTTGAGGAAGGTGGCCAGACCCGCAATGACGGAGGAGAAGCTGCACTGAGCCAGCACCAGGAGGATGAAGAGGGGGTTGAGGAGCAGCCTGAGGGA